TTACTAACAATACTCTTCTGATTGCGATCAAGTGTTTTTTATATTTATATTTAATATTATCTAAAGATTAAATATTGACATGGGCTCAAGGTTTAAGAATGTAAATAATATTTCCTTATGAAGAATTATGTTCGCTTTTACATTTCGCTGCAAAATTTGTATTATTTGATTTTTACGATGTAATTGATTTTATTTAAAACCACTTAACGAGCTTTGAAATAGAATTGTATTTTAAATTATTTTAAAGAGCCTTTCTTCTTTATCCAAACGAGTGTATTTTCCAAGCCGTGGTGAGGAAATTTACACAACATTTAGAGCAAGCAGGGTGGAAAAAGCAGGTTGAAAATAAATAATAAATCCATGTAGCGCGCCCTCTCAGCAAAACGCCCTGCCACATTTGATTGCGAAAGGGGTGTTGGAAAATTGTGCTGCGCCGGCAAAAGCTTTCAAGGTAGAATTTCCGCTTTTCTAGTCCATTAACTCGGCGTCCAGCCTCCGCCGCTGCACCAGATAGAGACGTGCACGCGCGTCCCCCGCACGCTCCAACGCACCCGGCCGCCGCCGCGTCGTAAAACAAACGAAACAAGTTATAAATACGGGCCGATTTAGGCGCCGCCATAGGCCTGATTGGAAATTTGCTTATAAATTCAAAAAAGTTGGCTTGAATTATCAGGAGATTTTTGAAACGCGTATTTTCAAATAGGAAGCTAATTTAATAATTTTCTTAAAGAACCTTTTAAAGAATTCTGTGGACTTAATTCATCTTTGAATCATACATGTTACCATGAGTTATTAAAATCAATCAAGAAAGTTACTCTTAGGACAGATTTTCAGATATGAATTAGTTATTATTATTAGTGGATTACTGATTTTTTTTTTATATATAAATTTGGTATTGTTGTAAATAAATTATCTTTTTAAAAAAAGAGTAAATTCTGCATGATAAGTTATTAGAAATAATTTTTAAAAACAAGAAAAACATTAAAAAAATAATAAATAATCAAATTATTAAAAATTTTAATTTTATTCTGATGAAAACTACGTTTTAACAAAATTTTGTAATAATTTTTATTTTTTTAAAAAACAATTACATATTTAATTTATTTGTACGCATCATTTGAATGTAAAATGAATTGATACATAAATTTAAAACAGAATTGAGAATAATGTAAATTAAATGTACAGAAACAAGAAGAAGGAAACAATCCAAAATTATTTACGCTGGGCCATAAACCAGATTGGTGAGATCTGATAATTCCGACATTTTTAATGGACTTGCTACTTTTTCTCGTGGCTCACAACCAAAAACTGACAGTAAAGCTAACCTCGGTGTAAATTTTTTTTGATCTTCTTGATATTTCACCAAAAAAATATATATTCTAATCTGTTTCATTAAGAAAAAACACAACAAGGCGTCAATTTAGTTGCAAATTGTTTTTACCACCGGGCATTCTCTGCCCAAATACATCATCCATACATTCAATATTATAAATTACATTGATTACAAGAGAGAGAAATTACATAAAAAAAAAAATACAAAGACAGAACATACAAAATAAACAGTCCTGAAATTGATATTGCTGATTATTAATATTGTTTTTTTGTTTGTTAGTTTTTGTTTTTGACTTTTTTGCCATCATTATAGACCTGTTCATGTCGTCAGCACTTTGTCGCTATTTATTTTAAACTTGTCTTTGTTATCTTAGACATAGCCTAGCTTTGACTGTTTTTTTACGACAGATGTCACCCATTTTATCCTCTATTGTATCCAATTTTCGTACAAAGAGCAAAAATTGTTTCTTCTTGGAAATTCCCTGTCATCTTCTCTTGAAAGTTGTTCGGTTCCTCAATTTTTATTTGAATAAAAATTTTGTGTCACTCTTTTATTTTTGCCCTCACATTATTCCTCCAGCTCGGCAGTTAGATTTAATTTGAAAACACTTCAGCTATCAAATTCAGCTTACATTATAAATTTAGAGCAGCTGTTTACTTGAAGTGGCTGAAAATTCTTTTTCACTTTCATATTTTTTGTCATTTTTTTTTAAGAAAATGAATAAAGTATTCAATTGAATCTGAGTTAATTTTACTCCTGAATGAAAATTACGAATAAAAAAATCATTTGGCACAAATTTTAAGTTGAAGCAATACGGGAGCTCCGGTTTCATCTCTCAAGGTCTTTGGAGCCGAAATGCACAAGAGGTGTGGCAGGCGCGGGAGCAGATCAATTAGGAGCAGCCCCTGTCGGCGCGTTTCCCACGACCGGGGCGCGGAATTGGGTGCAAAAAGCATAGCAGACGGTGGAACGTGTGTTTTGATAAAAGCGAGTGAAAAGCAGCTGGGAAGGAAGGCACAAAGTAAATTGTGTCGAGAGAGTTCGAACCGGAGGAAAATGATTTGGAGAATGGGCGGGCGGGCGGCGGCCCAAATTCGGCGGCGGCGGCGAAATTCGTCGGCAAAGCAAAGATGTTTGATCATTTCGCGATCCGTCGAGTGCATTGTTTAGCAGAACACGCCGCCACAGCTTTGATGTTTCTGCCCCGCCGCCGCTCAAAAGAAAGAGAAAAGCAGCGGCCGGGCGTCGTCGCCGCTGCTTGGAAATTAAAGAAGAAGAAGAAAAAAAAATGAGAGGGAGAAAAAAAGAGCGCGATGTGCACGTGCTCTTCTTCTCTCAGAAATTAGTCGAGATCAAAAGAGCGTGATGGATTCGAAATTAAGGACGCGGTTTTAATTAGCTCTTGTTGACAAGATGCAACCCCTGTTGCACCGACCCACTCTCTGTCAGGACAAGAAAAAATAACCATTGTCTCAGTTAATGGAGAAAGATATTTCAAGTTTGATTTTGATGAAGGTGCTTTGGTGTTGAGCTACAAAACAATTCTGCAATTGTCTATCTATTAAATATTAATTTTATAAGAATGGCTAATTAATTAAAATGTTTCAATATAATTACAAATTTCAAATTCTTCTAGATCACATGCTATTTTCTGAATTGAACTTATTTTTATTTCTAAAAAAAATTTGGTACCATCCAGAATAATAAAGAAAATTATCAGCTTTTTTTAGTTTATAAAAGTATTGAACAGTTTTATCTTTTAACATTTTGTCCAACGAAACAAATAAATTTAATAAATTATTTATTAATTAAGAAAATTAACAATAAAATATAAATTTGATACAAATCTTGAGATATCTTTAAAATTATAAAAACAAAATATTCAACATTTTAATTTTAACAATTAGCTTTACATGCATTTTACCATATCAATTCTCTTTGATGCGTTAAACGGTGGAAATTTTGAATTAACGGTGCGAGGAAGTGATAAAAGCAGGCGAAAAACACAGTTTCAGGGCGCACTTTAACTTTGATGGGGTAACAAAGATCCTATCGCCAAAATGCGTGTTGCTGACGTGAAATCGCGTACATGTTTGTGTGTGTTGCGGAAAAGCAAACACAGAGAAAAAAGTGCTGGGAAAAATGAAAATAAGGCAAACATTTTAATAACAAGCACAAAGAGGAGCAACGAGCGAGTGGTATATCTGATGGGGAGCCGCGCGGCTCCGCAGCAGTCGCGAAAATGGGCAGTAAAGTGGCAGATAAGAAGTGACAAATGCGACGAACAGCTGGACGAAATTTCCATATATCCTCCAGAGAATAATACGCAGCAATAAAAATTGTTGAATTAAGAGGTCTCGGATGAAAAGGCAATAATAGAAAAAGGAAATTTCCCATTAAATTTTTTGACCGTTAATTAAAATTTTTATCTGTATCATTGTATCATATTATACAAAAATATCAATATTTTTTTATGTAATTTGCATGGTTTCCAAAAAACAGCTCAACTTAAATTGATAAGAAATATTATCAAATCAAATTAAAATCATATTTCCATGTAATTTATAAAATAAAATAGAATTTTGCGGAATTTTGCATTTTTTTTTTTTATAAACCTTTTTTTATCAGATGATTTGAAACCATTTTTGGATTTTTACTCATTTTTCTCTTGTATTTTGTCAACAAATCAGAATCAGATTTTTGGCTCTCCCCACTTTCATATGATTTACATCGGTGGTCTGCGGCGAAACTTTGTTCCAATTTTGTGCTGCGCGATCCCCAGGCGATTGCCAAAGTTGCCGCTCAGGTTTCTTAATCCGACGAATTTAACAAGTGGTTGTTGGCCGCTTGCCCGGACGAAATTCGGCAAAAGCAAAAAGTTCTATTTCAAATTTAATATACTCTGAAGGGAAATTTCTGCAGGTCGAAACGACCCTTTACAAGGCGCTGGGAAATATTTATGTATTTAAGGTGAAGCCTCAAAGTTTTGCGAGCGCCGCACGAGTTGGCGACGCGCGAGATTGGCCTTTTTGCTCCGACGCGCTTCTCTCTCCGCCAAAAATGACATTACTGAGCCTCTCGCGAGTGCACACATCCCGCGCCCTAATGCATTATTAATCGACTATTTTGCAGCTCGCAATTTCCACGCGACCTTATTAAATTTTTACACCGGATTTTGCTGCAAGTAGAGAGTACTTGTATGTCCTACAGGCGATTGACCAGTCATCCGTGACCTGACTGACCAAGCGTGACCTGACCTAGGGTCCATCCCTGACCGGTCACCCGTGACCAACCATTGATCCGTGAAAAAATTGATTTTCCGAGTTCAGTCAACCGCGACGACTGCTCAGCCATGACGACCTGCTCAATCGTGACCTTAGTGACCTGCCGAGTGACCTAGTCGAGCGTGACCTAGTCAGGGCGCGCGCCGCGAGCAGCCGAGCGAAGCGGGTCGGTTGTCTCCGAGCGAAGCGAGCGGATGCTGTCGAGCGGGTTGCCTACACGCACACCTGCAGCCGCGCGCACGCATGCACCCCTTATTATTTAATAAAAAATCACACAACGTCCGGGCTTTGTTTATAATGTTGGTGTGTAAGCTTTATAATACATTATGTTTTTTATCAAGTAGAAATGGAAAAAATTGAAACGTTTTATTTATTCACGAGATTCCTTTATTCAATACACAGCAGCATGTGTCGTTACATCAATTTCACTTAAATACTAAGAATGCTTATTGATAATATTTGACATGCAGTCTTTATTGTTTACAATTTGTACTTATTCACTCTTGCAGAAAATTTTGAATTATTATTCTCAATCTACAAAATTGTGATGCATAAAATTTACCAAACAAATACAAAATTTAAATAATTCAGTCAAGTTGTTCTTTAAGAACTTGTTGTATTTGTAAATAAAAAACCAGATTTTAATCAGGAAAAAAAAAAAGATTTGTAATCATCTCAAATTATCCAGCAAATTACATTGCTGTACAGAAACAGTCTATTGGAGATACATAAAAAATAATGTTTCAGTCAATCTTAAAATTAAAAACTGAAATCAAAAGTGCAATAATAGTCAGTCGGAAATTATAAAAAAAAAAAAAAAAAAAAATATTTGTACGGCAGATTCAAAAACAACTTGTTCTTTGAGAACTTGTCATTTTTTACCAAATAATCATTCAGATTTTAAACATGAAAAAAAAAATTTGTGAACATCTCAGGATAAACAACCAAATTGTATTATTACTTGATGTAAAATTGTGTAGGATAAACAGAATATAGAGGTACAAAAATATTTCAGACAATCTCAAAAAATGAAAAGGTCACCTTTACATCAACATGCAATAGTCTGAGGGTTTGGGCTCCTCGTCTTCCGTCAGCAGGTCCGGGTCGTGCATGTCGACTACGGTTGAAGTGGCAACCGACGAGTTGGAAAGCTCGCCGTCGCTGGACACACTGCTCTCGTCCGAGGTTTCCGACCGAGTTTCGCTCACCGATGACGACTCGGCGCCTCCAGTGTCCTCTTCTTCGGTCGACCCTCGCACTCGATAAAGTCCACGCTTTTGCAGCTCCTTGTGTCCTTTGTAGGCGCCCGCTAGGATGCCGCAGCAAATTATGGCACCACCCAAACCGGTGAAAGCCTTCCCAACTGTACCGCCTTCTTCAGTTTGAACAGAGCCTAAAAAGAAAAAAAAAACATTTTAATTTAAATTTAAGTCAATAAAGTATAATTACATTGCTCTTTGGAGCAACAGTAGCAGCCTTTTGTGTCACACACAATCCAATCTTCTTCACATTGCTTGTCACACTTGCGACCATACAGTCCATCGGGACAATCTGTTGAAAAATAAATTTAAAAAACAATTAGATTTTATCAAAATAAAAATTACCATTTCCTCTCAAAACGTCAGGCGACCCCAGACAGCTGCTTTTTGTGCTTGTTGCTCTAGCAGGCACTAAAATGATGTAATCAAAAATTATTGTTAAACAATGTAATTTTATATTCACCTTCAGAGCAGGGGAGGAAAATGTTGGCTAGGCCAAAGTCAAAGTCATGACCTTTGGACACGTGGAAAGTGAGAGTTGTCGTGCCAGCAGTCATGATCTTGTGTTCGGTCCAAACGGAGGACGCCTATAAAAATGAATAAATAGAAAAAAAAGAGAATAAAGTTTTAAAATTGTACCGGCAATGCAGTCATGCTCTTGTCCAGCTCAACGTTGACATCCTGTTTGGAGAAGTAGTTGACCACAACACAATCCTCCTCCATTCCGCTGATGGTAACTGAAAACTGTCCGGGTAATCCGAGGTCATGCAAAATAACTTTTCCTGAAAAATTTTATCAAACAAGTGAGATGAAAATAAAAAAATAATATTTTAAATAATACCTTTGGTTTGCACCACCTGGATTTGTGAGAGGGCAGTCAAAGTCAAATCCTGCACGTGTCCGACAATCTCGCTGTTGATCTGCACCTGGCCTTGCATGTCGAATCGCACTTTCACTACGCTCTAAAATTGAAACAATTGAAAGAAATACAAAAGGAGCATAAAATTTTTTTACCATGTGAGCGTCAACAGAGATGGACAGCGTTTCCCCACGAAGCTCAAAGCTTCCTCCGGAAGCGGCGAGCAGCGTCCCCCTCGAAATGACTTTGTCGTCTCCGGACTCGAGCATCAAGATCGGAGTAGCTAATAAAAATCAAGAATAAAAAAATAAAAATATTTAAAATAATAAGACAAAATAAATAAAAAAATAAAAAATATTTAAAATAATAAGACAAAATAATTAAAAAATAAAAATTTAAACAAATTTATAAATGCTTACTGCCTGTGAGATATCCAGAATAGGGTGGTGCTTCCCCCACACCCATGAGAGCTACGGACTTGTAAGAGAAAGATCCCGACTCGTCAAACTGGATCTTGGCTGGAGGCGGCTGAGAGAAAGAGAGTGTGTAATACTTGTTGCTGCGCGTATTGCACTATTTGAGCTCACCTCTCTTGTTTCCATCCAGATTTTTGCATCACTTTCCACATCGCGGAAAAAGGGCTCTCTGGCCTCGCAGAGTGTGGTGCCGCCCGAAAACTTGGGCTCACCATCACCCAGGACTATTTAATAAACGATTAAAACAAGCAAACCCCAAAATTAATCGAAATTACCTGCAGAAAAGCACAAGATGAGGGAGAGCACAATCTTTCCGTGCATCTTGGGCCGCGAGCGTCACACACATAGAGTGAGTGATGATGCGAAATAAAAGAAGAGTGAGCAAATGCGGTGGCGCGCGCTGTTTGCAAATCAATTTGTGGCGCCAAGTGACACGTGTCTTTATTCCTATTGCATTATATTAAGTTTTGTAGTTTTTGTTTTTAAATAAATAAAAAGCAAATGATTTAAATTTTAATCAAATTGAATTTTTATTTTTGCGCAAGACGATACATAAAAAAAGCACACATAAAAAAGCACATACACAAAAAAAAGAAAAAAAAATTTTTCACTTGTTGAGTTGTATAATTTTTTCAATCTTCTTCCAAATTTCTTCCTTGCATAAAATTGCAAGCTCGCTGACAACTTTTATGCGCAGAATAATATCTGTTTCATAACTCATGTCGCGCACGTTGGAAACATTTTGCAAAATATTAAATGCCGACTCACGAGTGATGCCGCCGAGAGAAAAAACATGTTGCGAAATTTCTCCAATTAGGTCCTCTATGGGGGCGGCAAGAGAGTTTAACGAAAAGAGCTCGGTTTGCAGTAGAGTTTGGAAATCTGCCAATCTTTCCCAACTACCTTGGGAAAAATATATTTGAACGGGAGGACGAGGTGGTCCGTCTACATAGCGCCTAATTTGTGAAATCATCAATAGCTTTTTTCCAAACTTGTATTGTGTCACAACATGGGACATGTGATAGTCGCTGACCAGCTGCATTTGAAATCCAGCATTTTCTCCGTTGAAATACTTCAAAATCTCTGCGTGGTAGCGCATAATTTCAATGAAATTTTGCTCCGTCAGGGCAATGTGGCCGCCAGTCGATGGCTTGCCAATGAGAAGTTCGCCAACCAGGGATTCATTTCTTCGGCATAGTCCAGCCAAAAGCGACTTTGATCCAGAATTTGACAAATTATAAAAGCTCGTGAACAACATTTTTGTTTTTTTATCAGCGCGTCTGCTCTGCTCGAGAGTTTGAAGTAGAGTAAAAATTTTTTAACGAAAGACACACTTGTCCTCTTCGCCTAGTGGTGAAATTTCCAAATATTTTTTTGAATTTTAACAGAATTATTGCATCATTTTGAAAAAAGTCGTTATTAAACGGTGCATAAAATCCGTTTAAACTTCCGCCTGCGTGTAAAAAATATATAAACATTATACAATAGTGTCCGCAAAGTGGTGTTGCATGAGATTGTAATTGGCGACTCGACTTGATTAATTTTTGTCTCGAATCGATGAAACTTGAGAATGAGGGGCGCATAATAAATAAATTGAGCGAATCAAAATAAATTATGCTAGATTTTTGTTTTACAAAAACAACCCAGTGGGTGCCCTTGTCGGTGCTCGGCGAAAGATTAACAACATAATATTTAATATTTTCTATTAATATTAATTGATCGGATGCAAATACGTCTCCACCAAAGCAGGAAATGCAACTTTTTATTTGAAAAGTATCAAGAGGGAAGCAGTTCATTATTATTTAAGTTTCGTATACAATTTCTCTAGTTTTTGTCATGGAAATGGTGCTTTCGGCTTCGATCATAAGAATAACGGTCAGAGTGACGGGTGTTACCTTTTTAAATTCAATTACCAAACTAATGTTGGCCATTTCTTTTTCACTCCACGGACCCAGAGAGAAACTATTATCTGCGCTCAAATCAAAACTGAAAATGCAATATCCGTTTTTAAACATACTTTTTGTTATTCCGTGTGTTTTTTTACAAAAAATGTGTAAAGCGTGCATGGTTGAAAGGTAACCATCGTTGTAGTCGCCGCTATCAAAGTCCATCGGCAGGCCATTGCTTGGAATTTTTTTTGAATTTAGAGTCAAATAAATATTACTAATTGAATTATTGTTAAATTTGAATGGGTCTTCATTAACATTTCCAGAAAATGCTGAATTAGGCACAATGCCCACTGTAATTCTACCTGGACGTTTGTTCATTAAAATATTATCAAGATTTTTTTGCATAAAACCGCTTGGAATATTCATTGTTCGCATTAATACACGGTTCACGGGAAAAATAAAATTTTTTTTGGAAGCACTCTCTTCCAAAACTTGCACCAACTCTGGATCAACTTTGCAAAGGCTGGTTTTCAAGTACGCCTCTTCTATTTTTACTTTTTTTGGTAATTTATCTTGCGACATTATAACAAAATCAGATTTTGATGGTAAAAATCTAATTGTTATTTCACTGCCTGGTGGAAGCAGCCGCTGCGATTGAAACAGTTCAGACTTTATGGGCCCCGTAAGATAAATATTTTTGGAATTTTCAATCCACGCCGCTCTTTCCTTGTACGCGTCGGAAGCAAAATCTTCAAAACCATAATCAGTAGCCCACCCCTGTGTTTCTAGTGTTGTATCTTTAATTTCATTGTTGTAATTAAAAAGACTTTCAAAATAAGCTCTGTAGGGATACAAATTATTTGTTGAACCGACCAGAACGCCGTTCAATAATATTTCAACGTCCGAGAAGAGAGAGTAAAGTAAATTATTGCACGTGCTAATTAGCTTTTTCGGTGGCACAACTCCATCTGCGCCTGCAACTGGAGCAACAATAGGTGTACCGTCACCATTTAAAACCTTTGCTGTCACACAAAATAGAGTAGATTCCAAATTAAGAAAGTGGTCAGGCGGACAAATAATTTGAAATTCAATTGGGGCGCTTTCTGTGATGACGGTGAGAGGGCGAATTTTAATTTCTGTTATATCTTGAATGGAATTTGAAATTGCTGGCGTGAGAAAAAGGTCTAAACGAGGATCTGCAACGATATCCATTTTTCTTGCTTAATTAAATATATCCTTTCTTTGGCAAGTTTTCTTCTTTTTCGACTGGACGGCGCGAGCAGAATGAGATTTTCTCTTTGGAGCCACTCGTTTTATGCTGCCGCCGCGCTGAATTTTTTCAAGTTGATTCCACAAAAGTTTTGTTCCAGCTGCTGATGCCCTCTTTTTAATACTTTCACGCAAAGGAATTTTTTGAGACAAATCTTTTAACACGTCGAGTCCGACGCCGGCCGCCTCTCTTTTTGCTGTTTCTATGAGCGGCTTGAAAGTCGGTGATACGAATCTCCAAATGTTCCATAGCAAATTACCTAGACCGTGGCCAGATTGAACCGGACTTCCTCGAAAAACAACCAAGCCGCCGCTTCCGACTTGCCTATTGTAATAACTTGCATAATACTGTCGCATGCTCATGTTTAGACCGTTGGCGATTTGAAGTGAAGACACAAGAGCGACGAACCGTTTAAAAAGGGAAAAATTTCTCCGCTCTTTGTACGAATTTCTACTTCAATTGAAGAGATAAAATTTGAAGCGACAGGAAAATAATGTGGATTATCAAAAATATGTGAAGCTGACGTTGACTTGAATTGCTTTGTTTTGTAGTCTGTGCTCACGACTCTAATGATTGGAGCTATGGCGTCACCGATAACTGATGGTGCTGCGGCCGAGCAGTAAACGAAAATTAGCGATTTTTTTTCTGCATAAGTTTTTATTGTTTTCTTGGACAGCACTTGCGCGCCCTCGGGCCCTAAATGGTTGCTCGCGTCACTCGTCACTTCCTCTTCGCTCGTTTTTGATGCAACCTTTTTTGGCGTCAAATGCTTTTTTGGTTGAGCTTCCTCTTCGTTAAATATAACAGCCGGATAATGCAGTTCCTTGAGCGCTACAGTGAATCCAGCCGTTAATTGCAGTGGCCTAGGCAGGTCTATGATAAATTTTGACGCCGTGTTGCTTGGGTAGACAGAGAGCGCCGTGTTTGAAGGAAGGTAAATAAAAAAGTCGCTTTTATTCATTTTTTGCTGTTCAAATCAGACAAGTTTGAGGCCGGAATCCACGAGTTAAACGTTTTGTCGTATCCTAAATAACTGACAAACGCTTCCTTTTTGTCCCCCTTGCCTCTGAAGCGCAACACACTTTTAATTTTGAATACCTGCGGCTCCACGACAACCTGAATTTCTTTTTCATAAAAATCACCTTCAATTAATCTGTTGTTTAGATCGCACAGAGTGTAAACAGGAACACGTTTTCTCTTCACGACAGCTATCTTATATACTGCTCGACTGTACGATTCTTCGCTGCCTTTTTCAAAAATAGATTTTATTCTTGAAATGCGCACAAACTGACCAACTTTGAGTTTTGGCGCAACCGCCGGTTGAAAGTACTTTTTTTCATATAAATTAATAAAGGCGCGTCTTTGGTATTTCAATGAATTTGCACATTTTAACGGCGTCATGAGGGTCGCAGTGTGCGTTGTTTTATTTATGGCGTCGACGAGGCTCTGCAAGACGTCAATATATCTATGCGTATTATTTGCTGTCAAATATGTTCCTATTCTGCTGCGCAAAGTGCGAAAATATCTCTCTATACACGCCGCTTTAATTTCACTATTTAACAATTTAATGTGTTTTATATTATATTTGCTGTAAATTTTGACACACGCGCCGCTAAATTCTGACCCAGAATCGCTCACGAGGTAAGTGGGCTTTGCAGGCATTTTAATAAATAAACTCTCCAATTTATCTGCAACCTCTGCACTTGTTTTTGATTTTAGTGGTACAACAATCGCGTTTTTACACAAACAATCAATTAACCCCAACAAATACTTTACACCATCGTTGCTTGTTTCAAAATTAGTCATTTGACACAAATCCATAAAAACAAATTGTTGGTGATAATTGCAGAAAACAAAATTTCTTTTAAATTTTCTTCTAACAGGTCTGTGCAAAGTAAAATCTTCCTGAGCTCTAAACCAATTCAAAATTTTATTTTTTCCATATTTTTTTCCAAATTTTTTATACAACAAATTAAGAGAACCATACGCCGTGTTATTTTTAACATTGAAAAGAGCATCTTTTAACTCCTCCTCCATGATTATTATTATTATTATTAGTATTTAATTAATAGAAACGAAAAGTTTTCCAGTTTTTAAATAAATCGACTCCTTTGCCTGTCTGCGCTTTTTTGGCTGTTTTTTCTCGCGCGCCTTCTTTTATAGCTGGCGCTTT